TGCTTGAGCCTGAATATCTTAAATAATGGCAAGATGAAACCTCGATCGGGAGAGGAGAGGCGTAACCGGAGAGGACTTCATTGTCTCTATATGCTGTAAAGTTCCAATGCCAATTTAACTTGCCGGGACTTAGCCTCGGGGACACCAGTCTCCTGATGAGTATTTGGGATAGATTGTTCACCTTTTCTTCTCTTTCGGGTTTCAGCTGCAGTTTCTCTCTTCTATGGATCCCAGAAGTTGTTTGTGATGCCGACCATTCGATGAAAGACAGTCTAATAAATATGTTCGATACATGACTACCTTCTGAGGCGTCTGAAAGGCCATGTATTTTTCAAAGACTTAAACTGTAGTAGTCATGTGTAAGTGCTTTATATAGAATATTAATACGTTGATATAGCTTCACAACGATTGTCTATTTAGATGATATTCTTAGTGTATAACAAAACTTACAACTAATGTTAGATTGCTAGATATGTTTAGAGACTTTGCGATAAATTGGCCTAGAATTGAAGAAACGATAATGTTGCCAATTCACATAAAATTTCCCGGTTGACTTTGTTCATCTCCGTTTTCAATGGAAACTCTAAGATTCAGGACCCCAAACATGTCTCTTTATTACAAACTGAAGCGCCATTCGATACTACTCTTATGTAAATTGGAAATTGCATAAACATCTCATAGTCAACGAACACACTATGGGAAAGAGGCCTGTACAATATCTACTTAATCCTGCTAAAACGAGTGCGACAATAAATAAGATATATCTTGAATAATACACCTCGAAGAAAACAACTTATTGCCAACATTTTTACGTATTTGTTTCTTATGGTTTACAAAATATGTGCTTATAAAGCAAAAACAACAACAACAAAATACACTAGGTCAAACCTTGTGTCATTTGATATTTTTTTTTATAACGGACTTACTGGAGTTGGATAAACCGGCATGATATTCAGCCGTCACTAATTTTGAAATCTCTGGTTAGCCCGTTGTTAGTTAGTATAATATGACCGGCTATGTGTCATACAACCGTATCCAGGTGTCCGCCTGATCTTTGGAAGATTTGGTGTCATTTTGTCCACATGGTTCTCGAGTCCATCTGTCCGATACCTTCTTCTACGTGTGTATACATAAAGAGAAAACTTAGGTAAAACAGTAACAGCTTTAACCGGTAGATTACAGTTCCGGACTTGTAACCTGGGTAAGTCCACCAAGTGCACCCTTCCCTGGAACACACTTCGCGGTACTAGGTTTCCGGTTTGTAGCAGCATTGCTCTGTAACAGCCGTACTCTGTTCGCTAATCTTCCTTATCAAGGCATAGCCAGTGTAAACTTGGATAGGGCTTTTATACACTTGTCAGATTTCACCATCACAGGGTTATTGACCCACAGACAATCAACAACAGGTTGCAAAGCAACTGGATATACAATTAATCTGCTGTATATCTTACATGTACGTTTAAAGTGTATGCCAATAGGAACAATATGGTCATTGGCGTTACCAAGACAGATTGATCGAGATGAGAATCCCTGCTGCAATATACTCTAAGTTTGATGACTTAGACCCACATGCTCCGAACACCGGGGTATCCAAATTCTTGTCACCCATATGTTCTGGTGTAATTAAAAGAAAATTACAATAATGGTCTGTAATACATGTGATCATAGATCGACTGTCTATAAGAATAAAATCTGCCTTACCCCGTCGATGATCTGGTCAATATTTGAACCACCAACCATTCTATAATACCAGTTGCTTTTACTGGATTCTTTCGGCTAGCCCTACCTTAACATTACAATAACCTTTCCCCATGTTTCCATTACAACTGTGGGGGCATTCTGTTCGCTTAGAATCACATGCTGAAGGCTGTTTATGGGCATTACCAAATTTTCTTTGGAAAGTGTTACCGTGTTCAGTGTTAACTTTTTATGGTACGCCGCAGATTTGTCTGAAGCTTGGGTAGGGTGTAGTCGGAATTATTCTTACGTTTTATATATCGGTCTGTCGTCGATTAACCGACGACAGACCTATATGAAAAAAGTCGATAAAACGTCAGAATAATTCGGACTAGGTAGGGTGGTGTTGAGTTTTACCATTGGGAAATTACATCCTCAGCTCTCACCTCCATCAGCATCAAGACATATGACGTGTGACGAGCCTGAATTGTTACAGAATAAGCCTGTCCAAATTTTGATCATGCCGTCTGTTTATCGGCTAGCTACAGCATTGCCTCCAACCTGCAGCCAAATGCGATGACAAATTCACCCTCCTTTTTGTGTATCGAAGGACAATTGCTGAAATTAGTCCTGGCATAAGCCACATTACAAATACGGTATAGGTTGCTGTACTACCTAATGATATAAATGACTGGCTAGCAAAAACGCATAATAGATTTTTTTCACATATCTTACAAAATCAGCTATCCAGACATGGTGTCTTCGAAATTCTGACTTGTAACTTCAAACCAGTGCCCTTTATATGTATTATCTCTACGCTGAAAGGTTTTCTCTAGAAAATGAGATTTTCGGCTCCTGAAGTGCATGTCCCGTCTCCTTGGTGATGATGGAACAGGAAAACAGTAACTCTTCTAATCAACTGAACTGAGAATGATTCAGAGGTCATTATTCGTTAATGCAAGTCCTCCGCTATAAGTCGAACGTTAGACCTCTGGTTTCTAGCCTGAAACCCTACTGACCGACCAAGACAGCCGAGGCTGTAGTAAGCAGCTTGGCGGCAGAAGTAAACGACCAGCTCCCTGGTCTTGGAGTTTGTTTGTTTGGAGTTATAACAGCACAGTGGTGTAGTCTCTCATTGCAGAGAGTAGTTACTTTATGTTTCTCTGGGCAGCTTCGCTGTAGTACTAATTATGCTATGGTATCGTAAGCCGAGGATGGGGTTACGGAATCTTAGCCCGAGACTGAGATAACCCGATCTGGCTCAGTTACAGATACTTAATTTTTTCTCCCACCATTTAGTTCGAAAGAAACGATTCAATTTTGCCTAAGACTACAAATATCCCGTCTGGGCCCTCAAATAAAAATGGCCTCTTTACTACTAAAGCTTCATTTGTATGGATCCGCTTAAAACTGTAGTCCGTCCTTACAAAGAAGACCGCGTATTTCACAGTGTAGATTATATCTTATCTACAACATCAAAAAACAACAATTAACGACAAAACACAATATTTATAATGCAGATTGTCAATACCAAGCCCTTTACGCTCGGGCGAATTCATCGCAGCGTAAAAATTCCGCGAAATGTCACGTAAAGGTACCAGACAGATCGGAAGAGATAGACAAATCTAGCATAGGGGTATGACGTACCTGTAGGATATCTCTGTCTGAGGTGCGAGAACATATGTGGTTGTCATAGTATTAGTTTGACGCTAGTATCTTGTTGACGTTATGGTATTTATGTTGACACATTGCGATAACTATGGTTATCATTTTATTAGATAGGCACTTCAGTATTATTAATATTCAATTATAGTCTTTGGCTGAGGTCGATACCTGGATTTATCAACCCGAGAAAAGATATATTATAGAGGACGCAGTCCGAGGTCAATATATCTTTTCTCGGGTCGATAAATCCAGGTATCGACCGAAGTCAAAGGCTACAATTGTTTTATTATTTTCAAAACAGTAATGTTAGGAATCTGAAAAAAAATCACAGCAAAAATTACGGAAGCGGGACGACGCGTTTGTTTGGAGTCACGTTATTTTTTTGAAACACCCAGTCCTTCAACAAAAATCACGCGCTCCAAGTCAATATCGGTTTTTATCGGTGGACACGTGATGCACTCCTGGCCAATAACTTGTCGGGAATAATATGAAAAAATAGTAACGCTATATAT